CCGCCCATGGCCAGCGCCCTGCCCACCGTGCCCGGCTTCGGCAGCCTGAGCTTCCCCTGGATGGAGAGCAGCCGGCGGTTCGCCAAGGACAGGTTCACAGGTGAGCGGCTGAGCGGCGCGTCCTGACCCGCCCGGGCGGCGAGCGTGTGAGCACCTGTTCGGGCAGGGCTGGCCAGCAGAGCAGTGATAATAATAATAATAATAATAATAATAATAATAATAATAATAATAGACTAACGCGCACTCTTGCGAGAAAGCAGGACCAGTTCTTCCCGGACTCGCACGAGCGGGTGGACCGCGAGGGGCGGCTCGCGGGTCGGACGCCGGTTCTGTCGCGAGCTCTGTCGGAACCCGCGCGTACGCTGCTGACAGGGACGTTTATTCGAAATGGCCGTTTTTTTTTTCGTTTATATTTAAAGAAAATTACAGCTTTGTTTCCAGGCGAGATAGTTGTCGGTTCGTTGTCTTTTTTTTTTTCGTTCGGAGAGGTTAGCTGTGTGATTTTTCGCAGTTTCTCCTCTCTGGAAGAGCGCGTGTAATCACCGAGCGCTGCGGATAATTGTTGTCAATTTTGCCGGAGGAGACATCTCTAATTCCTCGTCCTGCCGTTAATTACGACCAGAAAGGCTTGTCAGCGAGTAGTGACAGAGAGAGTTGGAGTGGGAGAGAGAGAGAAAAAAAAAAACAGCGAAAGCAACTTTATTCCTCCAAACTTCTCGCTCCAAACTTCCTTTTGGCGAAATTCTCCGCTCGAAGCAGCAGCCCTCGCTGCAGGGCCGGTCCGGCTCGGGAGCTCTCCAGACGCTCTCGGGTCGCAGTCGAGGAGGGGACGATGGTGGTGGCGAGGGTCCGAGGGAGACATCACACTGACGGCGGGCAGGTGGCAGCGCCGCAGACACTCGGACAGAAACGCGCCGAATCGACCGACCGCTTCGACGCGCTGAAACGATTCCCTGTCTTCCTGAAAAGCCCCTCGGACGAAGCTGGAAACCGCAGAAAGTCTGTCTGGGCTTCACAGCCGCCGGGTCACTGTCTAAATCTCGCTTTCCCCCTATTACTGAAGCCTTTTGAACCCACACACAATAGGAGAAGTGGTTCTTCTCCTTATTATAAAAATTATTCAACGGAAAATATTTGTAGACTTAAGAGTATTTTATTCCCGCACACGGCCGCGTGTTTATTTTTACACAGCGGGCCCGTCTGCGGTCTCGTCTCGAGGCCTCTCGGCGCCTGGGTCCGGGTTCGGCCGCGCGCGCCTTCGCTCAATCCCTCCCCGGGAGTCTCGCTCGTGCCCC